TCTTGGCAAGTAGCGATGACTTATTTTATATGTGCTTTATGTTCTATTTAAAGGTAGAGTCCATCATTTGTAATTTGTGCATTTTGTTCGTTTGAAGCAACAAAAGAGTTCAAAATCTAATGAAGGATACTGAGCAACTAACCTGATGAAGTTTCAGCTAAGCTTCAGCTGTACATTCCGAGAAAAACAGCATTCTAAGATCTCAATTTCAAATCAAAAGTTGCTGAATCATGTATTGAATTGTTTTGAATTGCAACTATACGCGACGTCGCGCACTGATCCGACGAATTATAACAACCGCGCGCGCGTGTGCGTCGTTCGAATACTTGTGCGCGCTGCGCTGAATAACAAAACGAACTACTAATTTAAATTTTCCTACGGAGCTTCTTAAGAATCACCGTTGGAAATGCCTTCTTTCGTTGATTACTTCAAAATGACAGCTTCCCAGAAAGAATAATTTCACAGGGAGTTTAGTCTCCTTACTATCTTTCAACCAAGTTAGTTTTTCAACAATAATTACGCCAGTTACTTTTCGGATGGCTGCAAATGATGGACTCTACCTTTAATTTAGATTGTATTTCACTTCCCAATAAAAAAACAATAGAGTTCATGTCGAATTTCGTTGATTTGAAAGCTGGTACCGTGTATGCTTCATCTTTTAAATATGGTAATTAATGAGACTATCAGTTCTTTAATCGTTCATACTTAGAAATATTTAATGAATTTTTACAGTTGCGGTGATATCTAAATATGATCTAGCATTGGCCTCAACTCTTTAAAGGTTTTCCTCAAATTTGTTTCGTCCGGTTCAGCAATTAAGTACAATAAGACGAATATTTCTGCCAGTTTTCAAAAAAGATGATTCTGTTGTTATCCTTCCCGCCGGGAAATGTTTTTTGAAGAGCGTGTGTGCATGCAAAGGTCATTTACATTCTGTTCAGTTACAACAATGAACAGAGACAGCAAAACGATGAATGAACTTCCAAGTAATTTATTTGTAACGCCTTATCCAATCAACTTGTGAATGATGTAACGACGGGAGTTCTTTTCACAGACGTGACTTTACGCGATGCATTTTTGATAATGCAGTATTATCAAATTATCAATATGCTACTTTTTACCTATCTGCTTTTGATGTGCTGTTCTCCGCTAAATAAGGTAAATTATAAGGATTACACTCGTCGTCTCCCCGACTCGTTACTTACAGAAGCTTGTTTTTATACATGATAACCCTTCAACTTTCGATTAACGACAATCATCAGAAATATGGGGGATCGGTTTCTTTTCTTTCTTTTTGTTCTCGATCTAAACTGTAAAAATATCATATTACGGGGAATTTCTTTCAGTCGGTACTCGCTGGCCAACCTGTTACAAATACGAAAACCGGCCCAATACATATACCCAACACTGTTCTACAATTACTCAGTAATTGAGCACTTCCCCAAAAGTCGTGTCAATTTACTCAGAACATGTTCGTTTTGGCAGCTTAGTCGACTACATAATGACATAAACATAAAGAACGGTTATTCTTCCACATTTTTTTTTGTCGTTAATCTTAGCGTGCGCGTCGCGCTTACTGCGCGATGTCGCGCAAAACGCAGCTGGGCTAGTGTGAATTTCGGACGAAATACTGGGCTGCGTTCCGCTCACGCGAACGTTCGCGCGAACGTTCGCGTAACGATTTCCGTTGGCGCCAGTCGAAGTGGAACGGATTGCGAGTGAAATCGCATAAATTCTGTTGTCAAAATGGCGGCGCCCAGTGACAGTACCGTTTGGCTTGCGGCTGCACAAATCTTACAAGAATTTATGTCAGAACCCTCTGATTCGTCCTCAGGAATACATGTATATCAGATTATTGGAAATCTTGTTCAGAAGTGCCTTTGCTTGCAGTTCGCCTTACTGGAAAAGACGGTTTGGAGTGTAAAACCTGCGGGAGGCAGTGTGGGGCGAACAATCTTCGTGTAAAAGGTTTTGTTGAGATAATTCCACAATTGTCAGACCTTGCTTTTAAGTAGCATTTTAGGATGGAGAGGTCGACATTTGATGGAAGTCCGATTTGTTCGGGGTAATTTGTTACACTATGCATGGTTTAATTGTTGTCCGACTCCGAGAAACGGGCTATGAAAGTTGAAACAGTTTTTTTTCTTCCTCTATTTTTTAAAATATATTTTATTTTACAAATGTACACCTCTCCACTGCACTGCCTGACTGGCTGAAAAAAATCCAATAAACATTATACATGTAACAAGATATAACGAATCATAAATTAAAAACTACCAAGAATTTACAATATGAGAAATAAATTGTAAAAAAAAAGGTTTAGGGGGCCTAGGCCTACATGGTTGATGCCCGAATACAATCATACTCAGTCATAGCCGGCCCCATACATAAAGATTGACCAATTTACAAAATGTACTGCACTTGAAGGGCCATATGCGGAACATGTGACAGCCAGCCTAACTTTGTCAAATGTTGATATTCACAGTTAGACTTCAGGGGCCTATTTGACCATGCCTATTTGTAGTATATTTACGATTTACAACATGTTGAAGCACACTCACCCTCTTTATAACGATCGATAGAAAAGAACTCCCATATTTTCCAGATGTGACCGTACACTAACAGGTCTACATGAGTATACTATCGTCTTTAAGTCGTAAAGTCTTAAGGCTAGCTCTTTACCGAGTGGAACGCTAGAACTGACATTGGTATTATCTCAAAGGTCAGTCAAAAATGTTGACAAAGCATGCATAAATCTGGGACTGAGAAACATTTCGTACTTTGTGAGAGACTACTTTAAAAATGCACTTGACTCTCCAGTTACACTGACATATATTTACAATCCAACTCTTTTTAAAAGATTCTTTCAATAAAAATCAACAAATCATGAATTACAGATGGCAAAACATTGTTTCATCCATATCAACTTCTATTTAGAAAGATGCAATTTAATAAGTTAGTAACAAGAAATAAGTAAGTTACAAGAAATATTCTATAAATAATGTAACTATTTTAAAATGGGGAAAACAGTTTTAAATGAGGGAGTGTAAACCTTAAAATTCATTGGAATAAAAGCTCATAAATAATGTGTGATGTCCCAGACAGGGCTCTGGAGTGTTCTGAAACGTGCAAAGTTAAATCAGGTCAACTTGACTCGACTCACTCTTTAGTCAGCAAATTTCTCCAAAATTTCCATTGAGCAAAAGAAAAGCTCCTCAGTATTTCACCAACCAAGTTTGCAGACTCCACTCAATTTTTAAAGGAGATTTATTCTTCAACATTTTGAAGAGCAGGAAGTCAAGTGATTTCAAAATGAGGCTAACGATTAGACTGGTATATCCATCCATGGTCCAACTATTTATAAAAGACAGATCTCTTAATTCAGTGTCATTAGTCTGGTGGTTGACTATGCAGATATGTGAAGTAAAATGAGACTAGTTTCCGGTTCATACCACGTTTGTTAAATACTTTTAGCATGGTTGATTGATGCAGTACTGAAGCAGTGTTGGACTGGTCGTTTCTGGTGCCAGTCTATTTGCTCGTTTTGCATGTTTTTAATACCTTAAGTTCTGGCACTATGTAATGTCCCACCACCGTTCTTTAACAGAAGAGATTCAGGATTGGCCAACTTCCACAAATGACAAAGCTTGAATCACGGATTCCCGTCTATTATGGTACAACTGTTTCAAACTCCCCTCGCCCATGCAACATGCATGTATCTCATCCAAGACTGATGTGACTTGCCTCCAAGGTTGTGTATTGAACAATTTCAAGACAAATTTAACAAATTAAAGTCTGTATGTCCATGTATGCAAAATGAAAATAATTAGATTTAGCCATAAAGAACATTTTTTTCCACTTAAAGGGAAAATGTAACATTTGCAAACATCCAAAAACAAAAGGAGCATATTATTATACAAATATTGAGTGGCTCAGCGTGGAATGGGAGGAATATTATCGCAAGGTAAAATCTGGACTTTTCCATTTCACGAGGCGTAGCCGAGTGAACTGGAAAAGTCCAGATTTTACCGAGCGATAATATTCCTCCCATTTCACAATTTAAAGCCACTCAATATTTGTTTTATATAACTGACATATAGATCCTTGTCATTTGATATATTTGAACTTTTTTCAATACAAAACTGGAGGAAAATGTATTTCTCTCTTCCAAACCACCCCTTCACGAAAATGTTTGAACCTAACGCTGTAGCGCTGGCTCTTTGGAACAATACGCGCTACGCGCAACGCTGAACGCGCACGCCAGCATGCATTTGCACACAAATACCGCGTCATGATCCTAACTGTTGAATAGTATTTCCCATTCCCCATGGGCGGATAGTACTTTTTGAGCCGCGGCATGAATGGGAGCAATAACGAATGCCACGTGATGTGAGTTCCACCAATCAAATGACAAGGATCTGTATGTCGGTTATATAACACAAAATATCTTACTGGATTGTAAGGGAATGACATTGTAAAAACCCTGTAAAATCGTGGATCCTGGCATGCCTGGTGTGTTGACATTTTCAAGAAAAATTGTGCTTTTCTCGGCTTTTCGGCTGACCAGCGTTGGAGAAAGCTGGCTTTTTTCAAAAACTGTTTTTAATTTTTCCTTATTTGTTTTCCCGCATTTTCTGTGTGTTGATTACACGCCTGTGTAGGGGTAAAAGTCTTCTGGCCTGATTTTCTGACCTTACAATTCCCCAAAGTCAACAAACTGCTCAGTTTCATCTTAAGTAGGTCAGGGAACCAGACTACAAGAACGTGATGTTCTTGGTTTTTCCAGCATCTTCAAGCCCAAAACGTGAAACAAGTCAGTTTTAGTCATTTGCAAATAACATTCTTATATCCCAAGTCCATTTATTACCAAAAAAAAATTGCAGCAAGAGCAAATGTTGTATGTTCCCTTTAAATCAGGAAAGTGTTTTTGTTGACTAAATTTCTCAACCTTAAATGTGCATACATGTACATTCTTTCTTTAGGCCCTGTGTAAAGAAATGATGCCGTATATAACTAGCCGCACCGAGCACTCCTTGGAGGAGCGGCTTTATGCCTCCTTGTGGATGTTGGCAAATCCTGATTGCTATCGGTGCGTTGGTAATCTTTTTAACATGGGAAAGAACACACTACATCGCATCTTCCTCAACTTCGTGCAGTCTATTCAGGCACTTCGTCAATCATATGTTAGGTGGCCCTGCGATGAAAAACTGCAAAGCATTGCAGATGAGTTTCACAGAAAAACAGGGTTGACTGCAGTTGTGGGTTGCCTTGATGGCACCCATATCTCTGTACGAGCACCCGACAGCAAGAACAATAGGGCCTCATACATCAATCGGAAAGGATATGCAAGTATCCAGCTGCAGGCTGTCTGTACAAGCGACCTATACTTCACAGACATGTGCTGTGGCTTCCCTGGATCTGTCCACGATTCCCGGGTTTTCAGGCGAAGCGACCTTCGGTCTCATCTGGATGCAAATCCTCTTCCTCCAACAGTGCACTTGCTTGCAGACACAGCATACCCTCTAAGCATTGATGTGATGACACCCTATCGAGATGATGGCGGACTCACAGAGGAGCACAAGAAGTTCAACACTGTCCATAGTCCAGCTCGTTCTCACATTGAGAGAGCATTTTGGCTTCTCAAGTGCAAATGGAGGCAGCTGCACCATATTGACATGTTCAAATTAGAAAATGTCCCATTCGACAGCTGCATGTATTCTGCATAATTTTCTTATTGTCCATGAAAAGCTGGATGATGCAGAATTGGAGAATGCCCAGAGCGCTGCACTGGTAAATGACGACTGCAATCAACTAGAGTTTGAAGAACCTGCATCCTCAAGTGCTCAAGACAAGAGAGACTCACTGGCAGGCATTGGCATCTAAACTCAACCTCAAAATTAAGTTAAGAGCCCACAACATATAATGTGTAACCACTCCTCTCACAGGGAATATACAACTTTCGCTTCTGCTGTAATTTTCAAAAATTAATGAATTTAGTGGCTTAGTATTTTACAGAAAATTTTGTTGCACAGAATTGTTGAAGTTTTGTGTTGGTATATGCTGGAAAATCCACACCAAAAAAATCCGTTTCCAGCAGTCTGGTTCCCTGACCCCACTAATGATGAAACAGAGCAATTTATAGATATTGGGAAATCATTAGCTTGTACCTGTTCTCATGTGTGTAATCGACTGCAAGCAAAATGCGAATTGCAAATCTACATGTAAATATGGTGAATTGGGCCTTTTTTCTCAACGCTGGTCGGCTGATCATTGCAAATTGATACAAAAATACCGCTTTTTTTTTAAATGACAGTACATCATAGTGCCAGGATTTTACAGCATGCTTTTGACTGTCATTTTTCAAAAGTACAGTATGGTATTTCAAAATAATTTGTGGGTTTTTTTTGGGGGGGGGTATTGTTTATGTTTGCAAATGTTGTATATTGGCTTTAAATGGATGGAAAATACTGGACATTCTTTTTGGATAAAATGTTTTGAAGAGAGCACTTTTGCCTGTTTAAAAAAATAGTCAAAATTGTCAATGCCTTTCCTGACAAATAGGGCACTGTATATGATTAATGTGATTTCATTTCAAGAAGACACTGTTCAGTGTAGTGGTTTTCTGTTCAACTTTCAAACTTCTGGTTCTGAGATAGCTGTACCATTAAGCTTTTTGCCTGAAATGACATTACATTTTTGTCCATGAATGTTGAAATTTGCATTAGCAAAATCCAAAAGTCACCAAAATGCCCACAAAAAAAATAAATCTGACGTTATCAAGGATTGCATCAAATTACATGACATAGGCCCTTTAAATTAATATGTCCATGTACCCAGTGATCTACATGCATAGAATTGCACACTCAAAAAAATCAACCTGTTCCCTAACCTTACAAACCTTACATAACCCACTGTATGAGATCAGTGTCTGTAGCGTGGATTTGTAAACACAACATTCAGTTTTGCTGGAAATTGCAACAACAAAAAAATACAGTGTTTAAATTGCTCAGCAAAATATGGTGTTCTGGGGAACTATGTAAAAAGAACAGTGAGATTTTACCTTGTACATGTTCACAAAAACTGAAGGGAATATGATTAAACATATCACTCATACATTTTATGGCATTTAAGTTTCCTTGGCATAAATTTGTGCTTTCTTGAACTTTACTAAAGAGTACCCAAGTGTGACGTCATTTAGAGCCAGGAAGTGTACATGTAGTGCAAACGAATGGAGTACGTGCACTTGTTGAGTACGAGTAACCATGGGCGTCGCGAGGGGGGGGGGCAAGGGGGAACTTGCCCCCCCCCCCCCTGGAAAAGCCAAAAAAAAAAAAAGGAAGGGAAAAAAAAAAAAAAAAAAAGAGGCGCGAAGACAAAGTGGTGTAAATTTAATGAGTTGGGGGGGGGGGAAATGTCCCTGCCCCCCTCTAAAACTGATAAATCGAGAATGTGTTGAAAAATACAAGCATTTTTTGGCAAACTTTTTTTTGCCCCCCTCTAGAAAAAATTCTGGCGACGCCCATGCGAGTAACGAGTACTGAATACATGTATGTGGTAGAGTGATCAGGACCAATTAGTTCTGTAGATATTGGCCTTTAGCCCTTAATATGACGTCACATGATGACGTCATCGTGACGAAGGCTTGAATTTTATATACAGTGGAACGACGCAATAACGAACATCACTGGATCCGGCACAGAAAATGTTTGTAATCGTTGTAATAGTGATTGTTCGGTATAGCGATTTTAAGCTGCCGGTGCTCCGCTACTCACTTTTCAATAAATGGCGCTCTTCATAACTTCACCCTGCATGCCCTGGTAGTTACTGAAAGACGACTTCGAACACGTGCCGACTATTGAATTATGTAATTACACAGTTTGGAGCTTACTACCTACATCGATGGGTGGCTTTCCCTTCTATGCCTTGGGGAAATAATAACCACTTTCGCTCTTCTGTTGACGGTTTTCAACACCAATGTTCGGTTGGTTTTGTACACAAAAATTGGGAGCCAAAGACGATGTTCGGTATAGCCGAATGTTCGGTATAGCGGTGTTCGGTATAGCAACGTTCCACTGTAACACATCCTGGTCTAGCTACATGTACATGTAGGTACACATCATAGAGCTATATTGAATTACTAGAGCAATAACTTGATGTACAAAAAGATGCCTGATGGGCGCATCCATGTTTGTTCACAAACCTATGGAGAACTAGAAATTTTGTACGGCTTTTGTACGAGTATTTGCATATCTGCGTTTGTATTCAAAGCCAATAGACCGCTTGCAGACGCGTTCGATAATCGACGCGCTAAGGCGCGCGACGCCATGTTGTGGGACAGGCGTATATCAATTCACGCACATTTTGACCCATAACATGGCGTCGCTCACCTTAGCGCGTCAATTATCGAACGCGTCTGCAAGCGGTCTATACGCCCAAAATCGAAACGCGCGATCAGCAAACGAGCGTTTCATTTTGCTCTACGCCAACAGCGCAACGTGTGCGCGTATTCCCTGCAGATGCTTTTTACGTGATGTTTTTTAACCATCATGATACGCTTAAGTTGTTAGCGTGTGAACTACATGTACATGTACTTGAGCGTTGCATGTAGAGTACACTTTCAAAATTCAACCCATCTAATTGCATTATGTTCTACAAACACGCACTTGAATTCAAAATATCTGTGCCCAGGACAGCTTTAAAGCGTCTCCGCGTGCAAGAATCAGGAGTTAGCACTCTAGTACTTTAATATAGCTCTATGGTACACACCAAGTTTCAACCCAATCTAGTGTTTAAGGTTGCTTGTGTAAAAACTGCTTCAGAGTGGCATTAAATTCAGACAGTAAGTTGTTTCTCTCCTGTTTTTTGGATGTCATTTGCCCTCTTCTGTTCTTCCATCACGCCTTGTAATCTGGCAGCCATAGACTGCTGTAGCTCCTGCAGGAGACTGGATGTGCAGGGTCTTCGCTTTTTTTGTATGGGTGGTGCAGTACTAGTGGTTGCAGTACTAGTGGTTGCAGTACTAGTGGTTGCAGTACTAGTGGTTGCAGTACTAGTGGTTGCAGTACTAGTGGTTGCAGTACTAGTGGTTGCAGTTCTAGTGGTTGCAGTACTAGTGGTTGCAGTACTAGTGGTTGCAGTACTAGTGGTTGCAGTACTAGTGGTTGCAGCCTGCAATTAAAATATATAAAACTGCCTTAGACACTAATGATCAAGTAGGTCTGACTTCACATGCACATGAACCAGGACAAAAATCAGTTCCTAAAGGTGCAACTGTCAGGCAAAAGCATGAATCTCAGCTCTCGGCGAAAAAATCCCACTGGCATCTCTTAGCATTGATCTTTAGCAGTAAGGGAGGGGAGGGAGGAATCTTATGAATTTTAGCTATCAGTGTCTCCCTGAATTGATTGATGAAAATAAAATTATTTCAGGTTTGAAAGTGAGGATATCAGTGTTAAGTGAACAAATGATGCTCTCTTTGTAAATGGTACATTTCTTCAAATTTTTCAAAGACACAACTGAGATTATTTAAAACAGCTAATGCATTTAACTTTATTTGAGAATTATTATTCCGATATGTAGTAGTCAAACATGCTGATTAACTGGTACTGCTTAACCATGCTGCCATGTGCTGTGCGGTACTTTTAAGCAGTAATTCATTGATGCACGAATAAATTTGTTATGAAGCACTGTTTCTTTGGCAATGATATGAGAGTCCTACGTTAAGTCCCAAGTATGCAGACTGGATTGATTTGACTATCCCTTTATGCAAAACTCTAAAAAAAGAAAAAAAGAGAGACATTTGTGGGGCATGCAAGCTTTACATTGGCCAGCACAAGATAGTATTCACCAATGAACAAATACAATGTACCGGTACTGATCTTCTAACAACATGTTAATGTACCTCAACATCAGGTTCTTTAGCCTCATACTCGTTTCCTGGCGCTGCTGCCAACTCGGGGGTGGTGTTATGTTTCTGGATGATTTTTTCTACCAGTGATCAGTGTCACTGGTTCAACCGCAGGGTCATCCCCAAGGATGTCGTCCATTGCGTCATACAGGTCCCACCTCCTCCTACCCCTTCCCGTCTTCTTGTTACTGTCGTGGATGACGTTGTATCTGTGGAGAAAAAATAAGATTTGTTTAAATGCAAGATTCATCAACAACATGTTTTCTGGAATGAACTTGATCTCAGACCTACATGTACATGAAGGCTAGGCTGAAGTTTTTCACCATTCCACAGCTGAAGAAAGGGTTGTACTTGTTGAGTTGTTCCTCACACATCACTGTGGACTTTCCAAGACATTCACATGTAGCAGTTGGTCTGTCCATGCGCAGTACATCTGAAAATTTCAAAATGTGTCTTTTTGACCATTTCCGGCCCGGTTCCGGAATGGCTCACTTCATATGCTCAATAGATGCCCATGCCCATTGATCATGACAAAGGGGTGTGTTCTGAAAATGTATTGACGACGACATTGCGTTTGGTAAAGAAGTGACATGTACATGTATAAACTCCTGCCAGAGCTTAAAAAAGATTTGTTACATTATTCCAATCTCCAGACATCAATAATCACAAACCTGTATTTCAGGCTCCGCCATTTCTCACCACAGATATTGCCTGTTGCATCATCGATTCCCTTCGCTCTCATTCGCTCGGCCACCATCTTCCAAGCTTGGCTTTTCCGTATGGCACTACTGTCAAATTTATCTTTCAGGCAGCGATACGACTCGATCAGAAGCAACGCACGCTTGTGGGTCCACTGAAATTTCTCTTCTTTGGGCAAAAACAAATTTAAAAAATCAAAATATTAAAAATGAATCAAAATAAATTAAAAATTGTTAACCAAAATAAACAAAAGGCAATGACTAACGACAAAAGCCAA